GACAGTAGACTTGAGTATTCGATATGAATTTCAGCTTGATACCTCCACGCGTTCCCGAGAAAAAGGCTCTTGACAGACAGACAGACAGACAGACATACGAACAACAAAGTGATAGGATAAGGGTTCCGTTTTTTCCTTTTGAGGTACGGAACCCTAAAAATTGACAAAAATGTCAAAATATGAGACAAGATTTCAATTTTTTCTTTCTTTTTTTCAACGTTACCCCCACACTAAGATTTTTTCCTGTATCGTGGAGGCAGTCTACAAACACGATTATTTGTAGGTCATACAAATACTAGTTCCATGCGGGATTCGAACCCGCGGCCCTCAGCGCCGCAACTCAATGACAAGTAACTGCGCCATGGAGCCGGCAATTAATATAAAATATAATAAATACTCTTAGCAAACAGATATATAGACTTAATCATTTAAGTCACAGAAAAAGAGTGATATCGAGAGGTTCGTCCATGGAATTTTAATGTCCGAATTTATTTTTGTTTTTAATTAAATTCCTAATTCTACTTCTATTTGGAGTGAACGCTGTAAAGAACAAAAAACAGGCTTAAGAACTGGCTTGCCTAACCGGTTCTTAAGCGCGCCTCTTCAGATCGCTCTGTCAAGATTTAAAAGCTGAGACCTTTTTTTTCTTTTACATAGGGAAAGGCCTATACGCATATCCGCCTCGCAGAGGCAAGTACGGGTTATGTCGGACTCGCACCGACACCATGGGATTTCCCCGTGGTGTTCCGCCTTCGTTGCATGTTGGCAGGGCCACGGGAATGCTTTCGCACACATCCGCAGCCACACCAGCGCCGGCTACCTCATTGCAGCCCCATCTCGTGAAAGGACTACTCCTCCCCCATCTCCTCCTAAGGTAAGGCGCACCAGAACACATGACGCGCCTTCCTACTTTACGCAACTTGCGCAACGGACGCCCCCGTGTCCGATGCGCGAAGGCCATGGGGCCAGGCAAAACGAGCACTCAGCAGCACTAGCCTTCCTGACCCCAGCGGTGAAGCTGATCTATGGCTCCGCCGCCAACCAAGATTCGGCTGCGGAGTGTAGGGCGCGCGGCTCCACGCAATACCGACAATCCTCTCCCACGCAGCCCCACCACCACCGCATCAACGGTGCGGCCCCGTCAGTCGGGGAGGATAGATTCCTCATCAGCAACGACGTCAATGGTTCCGGCGTTAAGAAATGACCCGGGGTAAGCTCATTTAGGTCATTGGTGTTAGAAATCAAGAGACAGGCAACGTGAATAATGCATAGCTTCGATTTGCACAAAAAACGTATTTAACTTTTCGATCACTGGCGGATTATCCTTAAGGCAAACTAGGCATGTACCTAGGGCGCAAGGTTACAGAGGGGTGCGCGGGGAATTAAAATCCACAGTATAGTCTTGAGAGGCAGAAAATTCCGCGTAATTCGCACAGTAGTGGACCGACAGCCACAGAGATAATGAGGATGAAATTTCAAGTTCTGTTGCAGTGTAAGATGGTGGAATTCGCCAGCAGGAATTAATCCGAACAATTCCTTTGAGCACTCCCCATGGTATATGCGGTAGAAGATGCATAGAGATGCAACGTTTCTTCGCAAGGCCAGGAGATCAAACCGATCGGAAAAAAACTCGGTTGTCGACGTTTCGGGCCGCTCTCCGTTGAATACGGTTTTGCACGTCTCTCAAAGTATCAACGCCAAGGATTCCGATTGAGGCTGAGGTAACGAGGGAATGCGACAAAGGGATTCTTTTTTTTCAGTAAACACGCAAACCTGTCTTTTGGGAATAAAACTCGACTAGATTTAGGAAGACTCGACTTCTAACACAAGTTTGTTCCAGCAATCGACGAAGTCTTCCCGAGAATTATTAGCACGGCCAGTGTATAAGGCATCGCCAGTGCTGTCGCCTGCATAATAATGATATGTTGCATAATAGTACAATAAACACCAATCAATGAATGTTACTATTATGCAACATATCATTAATATGCAGAAGGAACAAGGTAAGCGATAACATGCAGCCTTGTGGAACACCAGCATTACAGGCTTAAAGTTGGAGAGCATGCACCGTCGACTAAGACCTTAATACTCCGATCTGTAAGAAAACGAATGACCCAATTGCATTAATTTCTCGGAAAACCCATAAGAGGGAAGCTTTGAAAGAAGCTTTTCGTGCCAAATCCAATCAAAGACCTTCGCTATGTTTTAATTAACCGCCTCCGCCCATCATGGGTCAGGTAGACAAGAAGATCTGCTGAGGAACCTCGACGAAAACCGGTTTGACGGTCACTAATCAGACGGATATCTGATATATGTCCTGATGAGAGGTGAGCCGAAGGTCCAACAGGGAAGGTGCATGATGCTCCACATCTGGAATCCGCGTGGGCGAACTGACCAGTTGTGTCAGACCATAATGCTAAGGCAGTGGTAAACTGATCTCCTCGCATAGTACGAAAACCGAGCAATTCGGCATGGTGGGCGTTGAAATTGCCAAGGAGCACGATCTCGCCATTTGGACGTGGTCGATGGCGTCGGTTTGGTGCTAGCCTAGAGCGCTGTCGACAATTAATCCGCCTCTGTCTTCAATAGTAGACAGCTTCTTCCCCGACAATGCGATGCAAGTGCGAGTTAACAGCTTTGATTTGTATCTCCCATACTTCTCCAAAGTGAGGATTGCAAGGTGGAATAAAACGGAACTCATATTTTTCGAATGAGCAGCGTATTTAATGTTAACATAATTGCTTCTATAAAAGGTAGACATGGTGCTAATTCTACCACGGCGTACTATTATTTATGTGTGCCACGGCGGTCAACAAATCTGCACAGGGCAGCAATGAATGCATCAGGTGAGAAATCTGAAACGGTTCCCAGGTGAAGTGTTTTTGTCCTAAGGCAAATGAATAAGCATAGACAAGCCTTGTCATATGCGCCACGATTTTAGCGAGTTTTATACGAAATAGGCCACTATAATCAGTACTAACAACAAAGAAGGGCTTCACTTGACTTAATAAGGGCATCCACGACTTTTGCTGTCACCAGGGCGGCGCCACTTAAAAGTCAGGTATAATATTTGACAGATTTCATAGCGGGGAAGTTAATTTGTTCGGAAAATGTAAAGGTTAATGTTTTTTTTTTTGTACTATTAGCTATATTTAATATTAATAAGATTAAAAATAACTAAACCAAACCACAGATATAAATAAAAGTCGAAAAATGAAAAAAAAAAAGTTAAAAATGTGCAAAAAATTAAAGAGCAAACCACTGACGCATTGTTTTGTGTATTCATATAATATTCCAGAATCTGATAAGCTTTTATTAAAAAATAACTTTTACCTCAGTGTCGACTAGCGACATCTGGTGAGCAGAATATTATTAGCCCTCATTGGTTTCATATTGCCTTGTATAGGGAATATGTCATTTCGACTGCCTTGTAGATCTAGTGGTTGTACCACTAGATCTACAAGGCAGTCGAAATGAACGCGACGACTGATCATAAGATCCCGGGTACTAATTCCGGACCGGGTCAATTATTGTTTTCTGACAAGAAATTCTCAGTAGCAGCCCGGAGTCAGGAAGGCTGCGGTATTTTTCACTCCCATACTCGTCAGAAAGCATATTAAGTGTTGGACCTGCACCTGATCTCTCTCCAGATGTGTCGGTTTACCATCTCATCGGAATATGAGTGAGGGAATAGAGTGAACCTACCCTTGCACATACACTGCGGCATTATAACCCTATCCTGCGCAGATGACTAGTCCCTAATGAAACTGGCCACCATGACCAAAATTTGGTCTGGAGGACATTATTATTTGTCACAATTGAAATTCTTGCAACTATGGCAACAAGTCAACTATGGTTGGTGCCTGCAGTTTTTTATTATTTTGAGATATTAACAGGAAGATGCTGGTGCCCATCTTCTATTTAATTTCTCTCTATTGCCTCTTACAACACCCACTGGATATATAGAGTAGTGGATTCTTTTACCATCACTACATAGTTTACATATATTTTTGTACGTGGTAGAGCCATGCTGCAGCTATCTTAGTTGTATAGTTGTAGCACAAATGGGTCAGCTCAACCGGGGAAGGACCACACTCTCACAGAATACCAGCGTAAAATAGCACCTTAATGCTGCTGTATTGTATGATGAGTATAGACATTCTATCTTAGTCCTCACAGGTGACACATCTGCATCTTGATTCGTAATCGGGGATAGATGTATATGAGCCACAGCAACCACTTACCATCAGGTGGACTGTGCTCGCTTGTCACCTTTATTCTATAAAAAAAATCATAAGGCAGTGGCTGACTTGTGTCAACTTGTGAGTGATTGACTACTATTCCCCCTAATGGTTAGTAAAAACTTAACTAATTATGTAAATAAATAAATTTTACAATTTAAATAGTATTTATTTACTATTACTTTAGAATCTTTAAAGAATAATTACCAATTTAAACATAACATTGAATATTATTCTGCAAGTTTCAAATAATAAAATAATAAATAATTTGAGTATCTTCAGGAAACATACAAAATGTAATAATGTCTATTTAGGGTAATTTTCTTTTTAAGATCCTAATAAATTGTAAGCAACTGTGCCTTTTTGTACATAAGTTCAAATTTAACATTCCTGTTAACATAATTATTTAACAAAAATAATTTAATAATGTAATTAGAAAACTATATAAACTATATGTAATAATTATGCAAGATTTATTATTGAAATAATAATCTTGCATAATTATTACATTGTTTTAACTTGCAAATAAGATAATTTTCTCTCCTAATTCACATGTAAAAGTTAAAATTTATTAGCCTATTTAAGTCTATTTACCAAAATAACCAGACTTAAAAAAAACAGGCATTAAAAATAAATATTTTTAATAAATAAAAATAAGTATAATCGAAAATTACTAACATAAATTTTTGAAATTTAATAAGTTACATGTTTACTACACTTAGGCCTGTCTTTAATGTATACTATTTTTAATATACAGCTTTATTTACCAAATCTTTGATCACATTTATTATACTTAAATAATGCACCTAAATAGCTATCAATATTTACACTATGATCTAAGGAGAGTTGAATGAACTCTGTTAATCTAATTTGCCATGGCATTAAACCATAACTGCAACATAGTGGTCCAGTATAAAGAATTAAATCAGGATCAGGAATTAAAGAATAGGTTTGTATTAAGGCCTCTCCAAATTCCTGTGTTGTGTATTCTGTTGATTTCTTTTTACACAATACTTCACCTTTAGCTATTTGTTTTATACAATTTACTATTTGTGGTCTTCCATTCATATAATTAAAAATATTAATAATAATTTTATTTGCATTCATTCCATAGGTATACCCGTTTAAATCTGGTTTGTTCGACCATTTTATACAACCTGGTATTCCTTTCTTATTTTTTTCAATAGCCCAGAAGAGTTTTTCTTCATTTTGTTTCAGTTCGCCTAAAATTATCAATATAACACATTATTTTAAGAATTAAGAAATTTTGACAGAATCAATGAATAAATGTAAATTTTTTTTTTAAATATTTAAACAGTATGTATATACCGGTAATATCGTAGAAACTGACGTACGGTACACCACTGATAAGACTCCAAATGACCACGCGCGCCAAATCGCTTATTGAATGATGGTTCGTATCGGCAAGAAACACTAAATGCTTCAATCTATTCTTCATCTTTGGTGCATGTTCCATTATTATCATAATATCACTTTTCGTCACCTCATCACTAAATACTTTTCGTTTTTTAACCCAAAACCGGTGGTAAACATTTTGAACTGCAACAAGTATATTTACAATCAGATGCACAATAATAAATAAAAATTGCCGAATAAGTCGCGAAAGCATGTTAGACGCTGACAAGGGTCCATTTAATATTATTTAATCATTTTAGTTTTACGCTATTTTATACAGAATGACTTAAAGGTCACACGATTTCTATAATGTGTGACCATTCATCAATCCTGCTGTCATTTTCTAACTGCCCAATCATAAGGCAAAGGGTGTAACAGCAAGAATACCAACATAACCAACATTCGCTAACATTGCGTTCGAAGTCTATGATGCGTTCAATAATTTGATTTCGTTACGTATAATAACGATTATTTACCCTTTATTATATTATAGTCTTTGATTATATTGTTACGAGCTTGGGGTTCGAGACAATTAAAAACTGCCGATTGAATTACCAAAATTGACACTTAAATTACACAACACTAATTACAATCTAAAATCACACTAATAATAAAACACAGTTCGCCGTTATTTCGCTTCGAAGTATTCTCTTGTATCGCCAATTCAATACTGCCGCGGTCGTGGTCTATACCGGCCTTATATAGGGCCTCAGATAGTTTCCAGAACCTTCTTCTGTAGCGACATCTAGAATGTTCGAGTACATATCGGTCCCGAAATTTCTGGAAGGATCTCGACTGTCCTAGTTCTGCTACTCGACACTAGAGGGCGCTAGTGTAACTAGTGTTGCCATGTACAAGACATTAATAGTGGCGCGCAATACTTTCATTTACTCGACACTAGAGGGCGCTAGTGTAACTAGTGTTGCCATGTACAAGACATTAATAGTGGCGCGCAATACTTTCATTTACTCGACACTAGAGGGCGCTAGTGTAACTAGTGTTGCCATGTACAAGACATTAATAGTGGCGCGCAACACTGCATCCCGAGCATTATTGGCCCCATAATAACGCGCCAGTCGATCCACATGGACAATCTTAGGAGTACCTCTCGCACCTTTCTGTATCCGGTAGGTTACATCATTAATCCTTGTCACAATCCGGTACGGTCCGTCCCATTTAGCTTGAAGCTTAGGAGATTTCCCTTTGCTGCGAACTGGATTGTGTAACCATACTAGTGAACCTTCATCAAACCCCTTGTTGTTCATTTTGCGGTCATACCGTGTTTTCATCTTCTCAGACGTTTGCTGGCCCGTCTGTCTGACGTGCTCATAAATGTCATTCATTTTGTTCCGCAAGTCATTTGCATAATCGGTTATACTGCGTGGGGCATCAGGTGGTATTCCGGTGATCAGCTCTGCAGGCAGCCGTAATTCTCTCCCAAAGTTTGCGAAAGCTGGCGTCACTGATGTACTTTCGTGAACAGCGCTTCGATATGACAACAAAAACGGTTGTATGTGCCTGTCCCAGTCTCGTTGCCGTTTTCCCACAACTTTTGCGAGGTACCTTTCCAATGTCTGATTAAATCCTTCTACCATTCCATCAGATTGTGGGTGGTAAGAAGTTGTTCGTGTTTTATGAGTACCCATAACTCTGCAAGTTTCCTGGAATATTTGAGACTCGAAATTCCTTCCTTGATCGCTGTGAATCTCTAAGGGTACTCCAAAACGACAGAATACTTCATGAACTAGTTTATCTGCAACTGTCGAAGCTTCTAGATTTGGAATGGCGAAGACTTCTGGCCACTTAGTGAAGTAATCCATCACAACCATGAAATACTTGTTACCACTTTCACTTTCCGGTAACGGCCCCGCAACGTCAACGGCTATCCTCTCCCATGGTGCCACCAACATTGTACAATTTCAATGCGCCTCTACTACGAATTTGAGGTCCCTTTACAGCCGCAAAACTTGTACATTTACGGCACCAGTCCTCGACATCGTCACGACAGTGGACCCAGTAAAACCGTTCTCGGATCTTCAGTAGAGTTCGTTTAACTCCCAGGTGGCCTCCTGAACAACCACTATGGTACAGCTGTAGAACATCCGGTACTTTAAGCCTTAGGGACAACCATTTGCAAATGACAACTGTCTCCCCGACCATTTTCCCATTTACGGCACAGGACTCCATCATAAATCAGCAAGCTGTCCCATTGGGCCCAATAGCTTTTCGTGGTCGAACTCATTGCCGAGACGTCGCTCCACTTGGGCTTAGGAGAACTGGCCTTCATCCATTCCAGAATCGGCTTAATGTCTGAATCTTCCTGCTGTGCATGTTGTAGGCTGTCCTTCCACTCATTGCTGAGCTGGTCTGTCCTGAGTGTCCTCACAGATACCACTTCCTTACCCTCTTGCCTAGTACAACGCTTGCAATCTTCAGGACAAAGTCTTCTTGACAATACATCTGCGTTGCCATGAGATTTCCCGCTGCGCTGGGCGGTGCTGTTAGCCGCACTACCTTCTCGAAATCGATCACCTTCTCTTTCTACAGTTCGCTTAGGGCAGCTGGATCGAAGATGGCCCCTTTGCCCACAGCCGTAGCACCTAGGGCGCTAGCCGTTATTGCGGTCCCGAACTGTAACTGCTGCAACCTCACTGACGCGGTAGGAACGATGACCCTGTCTCACGGCTTCCACCTCCAGTGCATGGGTCAAGGCGTCCTTAAGCGTCTCGTGGTCCCCGAGCCTCACAGCAGCTCTGACTTCAAGGTCGCGGATGCCGTCGATGAATGTCTGCACCAGGTTCCCTATAATGAGCGCAGGTACAGACTGGTTCGCTTTTCGAACCAGCTTCTCCACCTCAAGGGCCCACTGCTGCAGGTTTTCGTCACTGCGTTGCACGCGATCTTTGAGTTGTGCACGAAAGACGTGTTCCAGGTGAGCGTTGCCATATCTCGCCTCCAATGCCTCAAGGAGCTGCTCGTAAGTCACTTCCTTACCGAGAGCTTCCAGAACAGATAAGGTCTGATCACGCAGGCCTAGGGTGTGAGCAGTCATGGCCTGACTTTTATTCCAGCCGTTCGCTTTCATTACAGCCTCGAACTGGATTTTGTAGGCCGACCAGGAAGAACTCCCGTCGAACGGCGGCACTTTGAATCCACGTAGCGAAGGTGTTGTAGCTACCACGGGAACTGTAATTCCATCCCCAAGTTTGAGGTCGTCCAGCGTTTTCTTCATATCAGCCATCACGTTGTCAACCCGATTGTTCACTTGGTCGATTCGGGTTTCAGCTTCCGACAGGTGGTTGTCATGTTGAGCAACCCTATCCTTCACCTCCTTTATCTCTTTCCCGAAGGTAGCGTGAAGGTCTTTCCTGAGGAGCATCTGTTCTTCCATACCGCGCTGCAGCTGCTCTTCCAACCGACGGGTCTGTTCCACCTGTCGGCGAGCCTGATCCTGCAGCATCATCATCAGAGCACCAAAGTCAGGTGCTGCAGATGCAAGAACTGCTGACGGGCCGGCCTCCGTGGTTAGCAGCTAGGCCTCCGACGTTTGCGGCGTTGCATTACCAAATCGTCTCTGGTCCGTCTCCTGTTGGCGTTGACTTCGGGTACGGATACCCTCCGTGTCGTCTTTAGGTAAAATCGGCATATTTGATCCCACTTCTGGCACCAATTGTTACGAGCTTAGGGTTCGAGACAATTAAAAACTGCCGATTGAATTACCAAAATTGACACTTAAATTACACAACACTAATTACAATCTAAAATCACACTAATAATAAAACACAGTTCGCCGTTATTTCGCTTCGAAGTATTCTTTTGTATCGCCAATTCAATACTGCCGCGGTCGTGGTCTATACCGGCCTTATATAGGGCCTCAGATAGTTTCCAGAACCTTCTACTGTAGCGACATCTAGAATGTTCGAGTACATATCGGTCCCGAAATTTCTGGAAGGATCTCGACTGTCCTAGTTCTGCTACTCGACACTAGAGGGCGCTAGTGTAACTAGTATTGCCATGTACCAGACATTAATAGTGGCACGCAATACTTTCATTTACTCGACACTAGAGGGCGCTAGTGTAACTAGTGTTGCCATGTACAAGACATTAATAGTGGCGCGCAACAATATTCTTAATCCTCTGTGTTCACCTTTTGTGTTTCTTTGAAAGCAACGAGTTACTGGAAATAAGTCCTAACTTCACTAATCTCCACTTCATCATCATCATCATTACAGCCCTTCACAAGTCCACTGCTGAACATAGGCCTCCCTCAAGGAATGCCACAAAGCACGGTCCTGAGCCACCTGCATCCATCGACTTCCTGCATATCTTACCAGTTCGTCACTCCATCTAGTGGGAGGACGCCCAATACTTCGCCTGCCGGTACGAGGCTGCCACTCGAGAATCTTTCTTCCCCTTCGGTTGTCGGTTCTTCGAGCTATATGGCCGGCCTATTGCCACTTCAGCTTACTAATCCGTTGGGCTATGTCGGTCACTCTGGTTCTACTGCGGATATCCTCATTTCTGAGTTTATCACGCAGAGAAACTCCGAGCATAGCCCATAGCTCGCTGAGCAACCTTGAGCTCTCCACTTGCCAAGTATAATTTAGTCCAAATCACCAAAATTTTGAGGATTTGGACCGAATGACTCGGGTTTTTTGAGCGAATTTTTTCGTTAACACTAATTAAGAGTCATGTTAATTTTTCAATAAGATCTGTGATGAATACTCAAAAATTCCGTTTTAAAATCTATTTTTGTTAGAGATCAAAGATTTTTGTTTTGTAAATAGAATTGTTCTACTAATAAATCTATGGTTTTCTATTACAATATTACATTATTACGTTTTTAGGCTAGGTTTAAAGAATTTATTCTCACAAAAAGATTACAAAATCCACTTACATGAGAACAATAATATAAACTTAATCTAGTTAGCGGTCACCGTCTTCTCAGTTCCATCGTGACACTCTCCGAGATTACAAGTCAGCAGCTTTCAAGAATGTAGTTGCGCAATTGAGACTTGAAATCGTTAAAGGAATCTATACTTTTAATATGAGAAGGTAGGCTGTTATAAAAGTGTGCTCCCTCAAAGGTAATATTTTTTTTCCCTAATTTGGTACGTGTCTTTGGCAATACAAGCAAGCTAGGTCGGCGAAGACTGCGTTTTGATATTTGTGACTTTTTGGTAAAGGACAAACTAGTTTGGATGGTTTTACTCA